GGGTGGAATACTACACACCTGTGAAAAAGAACAAGGCCACAGGCAGGTTCCCGGAATATCATTGCTAAGTGAAACAGCGCAGTGCTGCAGTGTATGTCGTGCATGTGTGCTCAGTCATGTTTGGTGCTTTGCAACCCCGTGGACTGTAGCCCACCAGGCTCCTCTGTCTACGGAATTTTCCAGGCAAGAATACTGGAACGGGTTGCCACGTCTCCCTGACCCAGAGATCTCTCATGCCTCCTGCAGCCGCAGGCAGATTCTTTACCACTGAGCCACCTGGGAAGCCCTTAATACTATTTGTAAAACAAAAACAAAATAGGAAAGAAGAAAGATGTGGATTTGTTTGTGGATTCTCAGACAATCCCTGGAAAGTACCAGAAGACACTCAACAGGGGCAGGCTGAGGGTCAGAAGCAGGAAGAAGACTTGGCTTTTTCTTTTCTTCCCCCCCCCCACCTCCAGTTATTATTATTTATGAATACAAAACAGTTCAGGCCAACAAAGAAACTATAAAGAATAGCACCCCTACCACCCAACCCAAGAAAGAAAACATGGCGATAAGTGGGACCCAGCAAGAGAACGTTCTTCCTGGCTCATCGGAACCGCCGTCCTGAACCTGCCGTTTATCCTTCCCACAAGCGTCTTCACTTCCCCACTCCCTTAGCGCCCCTTGACTCGGACTGAGTTTTGTGCTTTGTTTTCTGTGTCTGTTACCTCTCACCCCAGGGATGCAGAAAATTAAAAGAAGTCTTCTTGCATTGTCACCCCTCCAGACTCCCTCGAAGCTCTGGGAGCTTCGGTTTCCTGGAACACGGGGGCTGCACCCTCCGTCTGGGCCCCCGGAGGCCCCGCGCAGAGCAGAGGAGCTGGCGGGCGGGCAGAGGCAGCCCTGGGCACCGCGGCCCCAGCCCACTCGCCAGGCTTCTGCAGGCCCGGGGCGTGGAGCCAGCAGGCTGGAGCCAGGCGGCCTCCCGGGCCTCCTCACAGCCGCTTTTGATAAAGCCCCTCTGTGCACGGGATGGGGGGGCCCCGGCCGGCTGGAGCCAGCTCACATCTGGAGGCCAGCACAGGCCCGGGGCAGCCGGCGCGGCTGACAGCGGCGCCACCCCGAGCCACACGCCCAGCTCCGGGTAAACAGCCCCGCGCCCACCCAGCAGCTCACCTTTCGCCCACAAGGCCGCCTTTCTTCCCGGACCCGGGCCGAGGCCACCGCGAACATTCCTCCAGCACGAGGCAGAATGGGCCACTGACCTCCAGGCCGGGCCGAAATCTGAATCCAGGCATCAGCTGATGATGGAGAGTGGGGCGGGGCTGTGGGAAAGCACCTACTATGTGCCTGGTGCCCAGCGAACTCATTTCGGGATCACTGCTGCCCTGGGAGGGGGAACAGGTGGTTGAGAGCATGTGCGTTGGCCCTAAAAGGCCAGGGTGCAAAGTCCAGCTCTAGCTGTGTGCACCTGGGCAAAGTACTCCACCTCTCTGAGCCTCCTCTGTAAAATGGAAATTATAAGAGTGCCTCCCCCAGACTATTAAAGAAGTTACCCTGGGCGATTCCCGGCAGCCCAGGGGTTAGGATTCTATGCTTCCATTGCAGTTCCCCCTGGGTGGGGAACTAAGATCCCACATGCTGTGTGGCACAGGCCAAAAATTAAATGAAAAAAGAAGCTACCCTAAGTTAATTACTGAGGATTGTGCCTGGCCTGGCTTATAGTGATGGATCTTCTGTCTCCTCTGTCACTCATCCAACAAAGCTGTACTCGGGGTGTTCTGCGCTGGATACCAGGATTAAGATGGGGGAAAACTGCGGGCCTCGGCCCTCCAGGAGCTGTGTCCCCGCTTAGCGGACAAGGCTCCTGCCCAGCCACCCGAGGGACATCTGGGGCCAGCCTGGGCTCCAGGCGGTGGTGGGGGCAGACCATCAGGCCAGGGCTTCACACACACCCCTTTCTTTGGGGAGCATGACCCAGGACCCACCTGGGGCCTGCAGGCCTGGGTCCTCATCTCCTGTGCCAACAGGTGGCAGGAAGCGGCCAGGCTTCCTGACTTTGGGCCCGGTGAAGCCTCCAGAACACCCAGTTCTGCCTTTTCCTGGCGGTAAGCCCCTCACTGTGCCCTGCTGCCCCACGACCCCCGTTTCTTCACCTGCAGGGACAAGGGCTGGGGACCCCAGCATAGCTACCTCCTGACCCTCGATTTCCTTGCCTGCCAGAGCGGCAAATAGCACAGGTACCAGTAAAATGCCATGGAGCTGGGGAGGGCTGCAGGACGGGCACAGAACCTGGCACAAAGGGAGAGAGTGGAAGTCGGGGAGGCTTCCTGGAGGTGGCCACCATTCTTCCTGGTGGGAGTGTGGTGGGGGGAGAAGCAGGAACTGAAGGAGGCTCAGGGCGAGAGAGACAGAGCGGAGCGCCTGCAACATACACAGCCCATACTGGCCCCGAGGTCCACAAGAGCCAGGTCCCTGTCCCAGCAATTGCCAAGGTCAGCCCTCTGGCCATCCCCATTTCACAGATGAAAAAACCAAGGCTCCGAAAGCAGAAACAATTGATTCCCTCAGGGACTAAAAGTCAGAGTCAGAATTTGAGCCCAGGGGGCCAGAATGCCTCCCTCCTTCCCTCTCTTCTTCCCCGTTTCCTCACTTGGGTCTTCACTGCAGCCCCACTGTGCGCTGGACTCAGAGCTGAGCAGACCCAGGAGCCCCATCCTCACGTTGCTGTCCACCACCAAGCTGAGACCGTCCCTGGCCCCCACAGGGCCTCGGTTTCTCCCCTCTGAGGAATGGGTTGAACTCCCCCTCCTGGCCCGGCGTGCTGCCTCTAGGCAGCCTGGACTGCAGCAGCAGGGCAGGCGGGCGGGCCCTCCCTGCCCCAGTGAGGCGGGCGGGGGTCCTCCACCTGCTGCGGCCCCCCAGTCCCCCGTGAACCTGCTCGCCAGGCTGGAGCCAGCCGCCATCTGGAGCGACGGGCTGTTTATGGAGCCGGGCGGCGGGGGCCCTGGCCCTGACCTAGCCAATCTGGAAGCGATTAGCAGCCCCCGGGCTGGGAGCGTTTGGAGTTCTCATCAGCAGGTCGGGACCACCCCCTCCAGCCCCCACACCCTGCACCACCCGGAGCCAAGGCCGCTCTGGGGGTCTCTGAGGAGCCCCGTTTCTTGCAGGGCACTCCAGTTCGGACCTGCTCCAAGCTCTAGAGCTCTGAAAACCAGGCGAGACTGGGCCACACACACAGGCCAGGACGAGGGGGTGGGTGGAGAGGGTGGGGGTGGGGAGTGCCGGGGCCTTCCTGGGAGGGAACCTCAAGCAGAATTGCTTTCTGGCATGTTTGGTTTTGAATATACATACAAGCGCACAGAGGAAACACACATGGAATTCAGCACAGAGGGTGTAAAAGCATAGAGTGAAAAGTCAGCGTGGCTCTCCGCTCCCCGCAAGTCCACACGCCCTGCACCAAATCCAGGGCTTTCAGTGACTCAGATTTCCTTCTGAGAGGCTGCAAGCATCTACATACACAATCTAGTTGTTCTTGCCTTTTTGTACAACTGGCAGCCCAATTTACATTTGGTCCTGCCTCTTCTCCCTTGTATTAATCCATATTTCTACCACTAGGAGGTAAAGAATCTGTCTGCAGTGCGGGAGACCCGGCTTCGATCCCTGGGTTGGGAAGATCCCCTGGAGGAGGGCATGGCACCCCACTCCAGTATTCTGGCCTGGAGAATCCCCTGAACAGAGGAGCCTGGCGGGCTACGTCCATGGTGTCGCAAAGAGTTGGACACGACTAAGTGACTTTCACTTTGCCGAGGAATAATAACCATAATGTTCCCAATAATAATAATGGCAGCAAAGGTTTCCAGAGGATTTACTGTGTGCTGGGCATGATTCCAGATGCTTTACATGTATCACTGAATGCATCAGAAGAGTGAAGTGATCTTATTAGAAGTCCTAATCCCCATTTTGTAGATGGGGAAACTGAGGTACAGAGTATCTAGGCACTTGCCCAGTGCCACACAGCTGTGCCTGGCAGAGGTGGGATTCAGACCCAGGCAGGCAGGCTCCCAGGTCTGTGCTCCAAAATTCTTCACCATCCGGCCCCTCCCTCTGCTTTCTGGGTAGATGTGGTGGTTCTGACGGGTGACGGGTGATGTACCACTGGGCTATCTCCATCTCGGGCTGGTGCTGAATGTGCTGTGAACACCCTCGTGGGACGTCACAGCATGTGGAGCCGCGGGGCCGTCCCATCTCGGAAGTGCCTGGCCAGACATGGGGTGAGCAGTGCAAGGGCTGACAGCCACTGCCCAAGTGTTGTCTTGGTGGTGGTGCTGGAGGTGATGGTGGTGATGCTGGAGGATGATGTTGGAGGTGATGCTGATGCCTGATCCAGTTCCCCGGCAGGAGGGAGGAAGTCTCAGCTCCCACATCCTGGGCCTGTTTCCAGGGAAGATCAGGACACCCTGTTTCCGGGGTTACTTGACCTCCCTCCCTACTGGTCTCTGACGGGTGGACAGGACTCCAGGCTACCCTCTGGGCTGCCTGCCTCCAGCCACCATGCTCCCCCAGTCCCGGCTGCACGCTGCGGCCGGAGTGATGGTAAAACCTAAGTCAAGTCAGCCCTTTTCCAGCACCCTCCGCCCTCTCTCTCCTCCCCCCATCCAGGCCAAGCCAGAGGTAGGTCCCCAAATTGCCATGCCCACTCCCCCACCTCCTGCAGGGGCCAGTCCTGGCCGCTGGGACACCCCCCACTCTTCACCTGGCTCCCTTTCTCCACACCCTTCCGGTCTGAATGCACAGCCTTCCCCAAGTGCCCAGACTGAGGCAGGCAGGGCCTCCCCTGACCCCGCACAGCCTGGGCCCTGAGCATCAGCCTGGCTCACACTGTGTCTGATGGCTGTCTCTGCTAACGACATCTACAGGGATTTTTGCCCGTTTTCTTTGTTTCCATATCCTCGCAGACTGGAGCATTAGTAGGGGCGCAAAATATTTGAGGGACTTCCCTGGTGGTCCAGTAGTTAAGACTCAGTGTTTCCAGTGCAGGGGAGCTCCTGGTCAGGGAGAAGACTTGGTGTTTCCAATGCAGGGGAGTTCCTGATCGGGGAGCTAAGACCCCACATCCTGTGGAGTGAGGCCAAAGCATTAAAAAAAAAAAATTTACTGACAGGGTGAAGGTGTGAACGAACGTGTGGGGAGCCCGGGTCTGTGGGCAGATCGCCTGTGCTGAGGTGGGTGCAGTCAGGGCTGCGCCCCCAGGGGAGCAGGAGAGCAGCACAGCGGGGAGGGCAGGGAAGACAGAGGCTCCCAAAGCGCCTACTGCCCTCAGGCGCTGGCCCGTGCTTTGGGCCTGCAACGCCCACTGTACAGATGAGGGAACAGCCCCCTTCATTCACTCCGTGCTTCAGTCTCCAGGCCCGGGCTGGGGGCAGGGCGACTCCGGGTTTTCAGAGCTGGCGGGAAAGGCAAACCCAACAGGAAGGGGGACGGAATGAACCGGAACACCTGAGCGCCGCCACGCCACAGTCAGCCGCGGACGTGGCCGCCCGCACCACCCCGAGCGACCCTGACACCAGCGACGGCGCCCTGTCCCCTCCTCTGGGGGCTCAGGGCCGGTGAGGACCACAGCCGGCGCCTTCTTGGCCCCTACTGTGGCCCAGGCCCTCGTGGGGGCCTGACACTGGTGGATAGCTCACTTACGCCCGCCCGGCCTCCCAGGCAGGGAGCCCCCCCCACCTTACAGGGGTGAAGGGGCCCGCCCAGGGACACGGGTCAGCACGGCAACGCTGTGACGCCACACACAGGCTCCCGAAGGCCAGGCTCAGGATGAAGGCCCCTTCGGAGGGAGGGCGCAGGGGACGCCCCGGGGGTCTCCCCGGGCCTCGGCGTGTTTCTTTTTTTTTTTTGGCGTTTTTCATTTCTCTCTTGGAGGTGGGGATACAGATGCTCATGCCTCATTCCCGAACTCCTGGTTCGAGCTGAAAACAAACCACGAGAGCATGTAGCCACGCAGCCCCACTGCGGAGAGTGACTCAGCGTGGATACGGGGCTGACCCTTGACCCAGCTGTGGCTGACCTGCGCCTGAAACCAGCCTGGGTAAGAGGGCTGCCCCCCCCACCCCCTGGGCCCCCCGGCTCTCAGTGACGCGGCCGTGGTGGCGTTTGGCAACCCGGGCTGCCCGCAGTTACGACAGCCCAGCGTCTGGCTCCCGGAGGGAGGGCAGGGCGGGCGGGGAGCCCCGGGCCTGCCCCTGCCTGCTCGGCTGACCCCTCCTCCTGGCAGCCCCTCTCTGGCCCCATCTTTCCTCCCCTTCACCAGCTGACCTCACAATTGCTCAGAGACCAGAGAGTCTGCACCCTGAGGGCAGGAACCTGTGCTGTCCGCACCCGCATACAGCTGGCGCTCCATAAGTACTTGTTGAACGAGCAGATGAAAAGCTGGATAAACAAACTGCAACCCCTCCCTCCCTCCCTCCCTCCCTCCCTTCTTTCCTTCCTTCCTGCCTTCTCTCCACAGATAGTTACTGAGCACCTACTATGTGCCGGGCAACCGGGACCCACTGGTGAAGGGAACAGACCAAGATGCCCATCCTTGTGGAGCTGATGTTCTCGAGAGGATGCCGGTCATCCACGCAGTCATCCTGCAAACACAGCAGCTGGGGAAGCAGCCACACACCTGCTGCAGGTGGCGGGACCCCCAGGGGCTGGGAGAGGCCGCTGGGGAGGGGACCCTGTGGCGGCTCCCTGGGGAAACACCACTACCAATACTCATTCGGCCGGAGAGCCGGGGGAGCGAGAGGCACGCACGTCAAACAAGAGGAAGCCCTGGGGTGCGGACCGGCCCTCCCAGCCCGGAAGGGTCCCTAAGGAAGTGACGCCCTGAGCACGGAGCCAGATCCCCGCGACCGCGAGGAAGCCGATTCTCTTCCCAGCAGGGGCAGCAGCGCGGCAGAGGCAGGAAGCCTGCCCCACCCTGGGAAGCTGGTGGCTCTGCACGGGATGGCCCACTCTGGCCTGGCTTTCTCCTTTGGCGCAAAGGGAACAGTCTCCTCAACAACAAACAGGGGAGTCGGAACGCTCTCTGGAAGCCTTTCAGAGGGCTGGGCGAGGCACTTGATCCAAAGTTTTCTTTCTTTTTTTTTGCAGTATAGTTGCTTTACTATGCGTGTTCGTTTCTGCTGTCCAACAAAGTGAGCCAGCCACACGTGTACCTACATCCCCTCGTCGTTGGATTTCCCTCCCATTTAGGTCACTAAGGTGCTAGCTAGGTCAGCGTGAGTTGTATTCTCCCTGCCTTTCCCACTAGGCTGTGAGCACAGTAGGTGCTCAGGGCACTCCTGTGGGTTAAATGAGCCAGTGAGTCTCGGCTTCCTCACCTGTGTGATGGGATGATGCTTTTGTGGACACAGGGAAGGAATGAACCCCTCTTTATAGCTTGTGTTGCCTCCTCTCCGCAGATCCTGGGGGGGGGTCAGGCCTCCGGGGACCCCCTCAAGTCCTGGAAGATGACCTTCTCTGCGGGCTGTGGGAGACAGAGATGAGAGGGTATACCGCACAGCCCTCCAACTCTGGAGGTGGAGGCAGGATCCTGAGTGCTTAGGAGGAAATGACAGGCCGCCTCATTTACAATGGAAGGAAACTGAGGTACACAACAAAATAATAAAACCTAATGCGTGCGCGCTAAGCGCTTACAGTAAGCCAGGCACCGTACTGAGCCCTTTGACCTAAATTCTTCCATTTAATCCTCCCAACAACAGTCACTGTAGGAAGCTGATCCTGGGACCCCTATTTTACAAGTGGGGAAAGGAAGACTCGGGAAGGTAAGTCAAGGCCATACCCTCTGTGAATGGAGGACCTGAGGTGGGCACACAGATCTGGCTCCAGAACCCAGAACCAAAAACCTGGGACATCCTGGGGGAGGTGGAGGGACGAGATGAGGGAAGCCTGGCAGGGACGGAAGATAAGCCCTTGTCTGGGGCCACGGGCAGCGGAATAAATGATTGCAAGAATGAGGCACCCCGGGTCAGTTGCACGTCCATTCTACCCTGGATGGCCCAGGGCAGTTTGCAGAAACCCCAGTTTCAGCCCACCCCAGCAACCTAGAATCTTCTCTGCTTCATTCATTCACTCATTCATGCAATCATTCAATCAACAGAAGACAAAGTTCTGGATGACACAAACATACCCCTGTAAACAATAAATGTAAACGGGTTGAATGGGTCTATTAAAGCACAAAGACTCTAGTATAAGATCAAAAATCAAAATCTCTTCATTTATTCGTGGACCTAATATTTATTAGATGCCTAAAATATTCAAGGTCCAGTTTTAGATTCTAATGACAGAACCTAAAAATAAGATGTCTGCTGGTGGAAAAACACCGGGAAAAGGTGATCCAGGGAGAGAGACCCGAAGGTGCAAAAAACTGTGAGGCTGCGATGAGCTGGAGGAGGGAGGAACAGAAGGGGGGGCCCTTGTGGCCGGAGTGCAGCACTGGTGAGCGTGGGGAGTGAAGCAGGAGAGGCCTGCCAGGTCGGGAACAGACAGCAGCAGCAGCAAGCAGGGCCCAGATGCAGAGGACCCAGGTCCTCACAGAGAGCTCCTCACTCCCCCGGCAAGCCCAGCGGGCTTCTCGACTCTTCCCATCTGGGAGCCCTCCCTGCCCCCCAGACGGGGCCAAGATGACCAGGCACAGCCCCCTCTCCAGGAGGCAACCTTGTGGATTGGAGGCCTATTGGGTACCAGGCTCCACCGTTGGTGGTTTCCACGCTTAATCAGCTCATTAAGTCCCACCACCAGGTTCGCGTCCTCCCATTTTGCGGAAGAGAAAACTGAGCCTCAGAGAGGCTGGGTGGCCTGCCCGAAGCCACACTGCCAGGCAACGGCAGGCCCGAGGCTTGGACTCAGAGCATCTGACACTGCGGGTGCCTCCCGGGAAAGGAAGTGGAGCAGCCTCAGCTGGCTGTGTCCTCACGTGGGTCTCCTGACCTCCTCGACCTCAGCCCTCCGTCTGGGAAACCACAGGCCAGGTCAGTGTCAGGACCTTGGTGACTCCCTCCCTCCCGGCAGGGGAGTTCCCAAAGCGCTGACTTAGCGTTTCTGATTCCATCCCCACAATGACCCCATTTAACAGAGGAGGAAACTGAGGCTCAGACGGCGGAAGTGATCCTCCGGGGTCACGGCCCTGGGACTCCCGAGGGCCTGCGAGTTTCGCTGAATCCGTTCAATGGGACTCCCAAGGATGCAGAGACTCGGGGTTGAGTGAGGCGGGGAGAGGAACAGGACACACAGACAGTGAGGGAGAGAAAGCCTGGAACCCAGGAGCCCAGCTCCCAGCCTCTGCCCCTCACTGCATCCTGGGGAAGACAGGGGCCAGGCCCCTCGGTCGGTCCGGATTATTTCCTGAGAGCGGGGAGGGCCACGGGAAGTCTCCCCACTCAGGTCCTGCCCAAACAGGAAATGCCAGGCAGTTCCCCCACCCCCATCCCAGGGCCGTGGGAAAGCTTAGCCTGGGATTCCAGCGCCTCCAGCAGCTCTGGCCCAGCCTCAGTGGGGAGTCTAGCCTGTAACAGGGCCTGTGTGACCTTGGGCAAGGTCGTCCCCCCTCTTGGGGCCTCAGGCTCCCGCTCTGTAGTCACAGAGCTCTGCCACCTCCGGCCATGTGGCCCCAGGCTGGTGGCTGTGGCCCGCTGAAGTCGAGCTCCTCCTCCCGTAAGACAGGGGAAAGGGCACAGAGTGTTCCCCACCCACTGAGCCATCGTCACCCCAGGCGAGCGTCTGACGGGGAGGCCTTCGGGAAGATCCCTGCAGCCCTCTGTGAAAGATGCCCTAGCTTCCTTAGGCTCAGCAACCACAGCAGGACCTCCCTGCACCTCACTCCCCAATTGGTACCCAATTTGTACAAGGGGCAGAGCCCTGAATCACAGGAATTGAATGTCAGGAGAACGGGTCATGGGGGTGGAGGGGGGCGATCATTGATTTCAGACCATGGGAGAAGGTAGAAGGAAGCAGATTCAAGAAAGATAGAGATGCTGGCTGGCGGGGTTAGAAGGGTGGCTGGAGTGTGTGGCCTGATTACTCCTCTCTCCCACTGAGAAAAGACATCCAGGGGCTTCTCTGGTGGTCCAGTGGTGAAGAATCCACCTGCCGATGCAGAAGACACAGGTTTAATCCCTGATTCCACGTGCCTGTGCCTGTGAACCAAAACTACCGAGCCCCTGCACCCTCGAACCCGGGGGCCGCAACCAGAGAAACCACAGAAATGAGAAGCCCAAGCACTGCAACTAGAGAGTAGCCCCCGCTCGCGGGAGAGAAAGCCCACACATCAGTGAAGACCCAGGGTGGTCAAAAATAATAAATAAATTTAAAAAAAAATTTTTAAGGCTGTGAGAATAGTGGTGGATGGGCCAGGTGGTCAGGGCTGCACCCACCCCTTGGGGGCTTGCAGAGCTCTATTAGGGGGCCTCGGGGGAAGGGAGACGGGCCCGGCGCAGGGGTGACGGTGGCCCTGTTACCTCCTCTTGGTAACAGGTGCTCCCAGCTGCCCGGCCCTGGAAGACGAGTCCTCACTCCTTCCCAGCCCAGAGCCTCCTCGTCAGCAGCGGTGACATCGTGGAGTCAGTCGAGGCCGGCAGCTCAGAGAGGCAGAGCAACTTGCCCTGGGTCACACAGCAGAGTCACTACCACATCTCCAGTCCTCCCTGGAGAAAACGGGAGTCCCAGGGAAGAACACAAAGGGAGCCCACGGACCCTAAAGAGGCTTAGGGGAACTTAAGCGCCAGAGAGGCTTTGAGGCGGTGAATGTTATGGGTTTCTGTATTTGGGCCTCTCCACCTCCCAGTGCCAGGCATGTCCCGGGACAGAAGAACCTGGGAAATGGGCTGAAATTCCCGTTCCGTCTTACAACCAGTGCCAAATCACCACATTTCTCAGAAGCGGGTTTCTTTGTGGTAAA